AATATGACTGTTACTGACTGCATTCGAATGGAAACAACTAATTAAAATAGTGTTAATAAAGATTTTTCTGTGATTATCTCAATATTTTCCGATGAATCTGCGTTTCAAATTTTGGTCGACAAAACTGCATTTCTCCGACGACGTCTTGGAGAGAGCAGTTCCTCCATCCATCCTGCCTTGTGGTGATGGTTAAATACCCGGTTAGTGTCATGGTATGGTCCGTGATTTCAGCGAAGGGCATAAGACGCCTATACATCGTGGAGGGGATCATGAGGCAGGATCCGTACAAGCGAGTACAAAAATCCAGCTACTGCCACATATCGAAGAATGGTTCCCTAGTGATGCCGAGTTCATTTTTATGCACGATACGGCACCGAGCCACAAAGCCAGGAGTGTTAGTATGTTCCTGGCCGAAAAAACATTACCATTTTGCACTGACTGGGTATGAACCCCATAGAGAACATGTGGGGACTCACCAAACGGGCGATTGCTAATGAGGTGATCACCACCAAGCACCATTGGTAGAAACTCTCATCAGAAAATGGCATCACAACGTCGAACTCCAACAGAATTGTAAAGTCTGTATAGAGAGCATGCTTCGAGACATAAAAGCTTTATTTGCGGCAAAGGGTGCATCACTAAATACTAAGATTAATTTTAGCGGATTTCCATTGATGCACATATATAGCTTTTACGAAAAAAATTAATAGTTTCTTCCACGTAACTCGTTGTTTTTATGATCTTAATAATACATTCTTTTGAATAAAAAATAGCTACAAGCTGTAGAACCAACTGTTTGTTCAAAAAAATTCAGTCAAACTAGAAAATATAAGAAACTGAGTACTGTCCCTAATAATTTGGCCACCCACTGTATATTATTCAAGTTTTGATAATTTTCGGTCACTTTTATTAAACATTTACCTGCTTTCGCTCAATGTGAAATTTCTTGTCAGGCCAAAATTGTCAGCGTACCTTATAAATAAAACCAATGAAAAATATTTCTTTATAACAATTTTGACAATTTTTTTTTAGTGCAAGGGATTATTTTACAAAAACATATTTCTGTGTAGAAAAATGCCCAGAAATACGTAATGTTAATACAGATATGTAAATAAATACATAATTATGTATAATAATTTTACACAACGAACGTTAATAACGTTAACATTATTAACAAAAAAGTGTTCCCTGTATATTCAATTCAATCGTGTCGGACAATATACAGGGTGAACAATGGTAATGGTAATAGCAGATTGCTAACGTCAAAATATAGTGATTGAGCCAAACATGCCTTAGTCAATTATTACTGCTTTTCGTTCTACAGGGTATCAAGTTAAAAATATATTTTTGATTTTTTGCTATATTTTAAGTATGTATGGACCGATTATTTTGAAAATTTATAGTTTTACGTTTATTGAGGTGGCAAATACGAATATGCAAACAGTGTTGGTATCACGTCTAGGGGGCGCTAGTTATACTGTCCTATCATTGTAAAAATATGTGTAACTTTTTATATTTTACAATTTCGAATTTTTTAACTAGGAATTATTGAATTACGTTCAATTCTAAATGAAAAAGGTATACATGTTACAAATCGATAAACTAAACCGTTTTCGAGATACAGACGTTTTAAGTTTTTGAGATTCGACGGGTATTAATTTAGAAAATTAGCAGGTCATAAGATAGCCTGAATTAAGAATTAAGACAATTACAGCAACTGAAAATTGTTTTATGCATAATATCTTAAGAAATTATTAATCATAAAAGATTCTCAAAGCAACCACCAGCGACTTCAATACACTTATTTAAATTTTGTCTGATGTTAAAAAATAAACTTCTATGTTGTTTGATAATATGAACTGATTCTTGAATATTTGACTATTAATAATGTCTTTGTAAACTAGAGAATTAAGATAGCCCCAAAACAAAAATCCAGCGGACTTAAATCAGGGCTACGTGCAGGCCAAGGTACTTCGCTACCGCGTCCAATCCAACGGTGCGGCAAATTTCTATTTAGATACTCTCTTACTTCCTAGGTATAATGTACTGTCAATTTATTATGTCAATGTCTACTAATTTGGAAAAAATAATTTTTTAAATTTAATTCCCGCCGAACTCAAAAACTTGAAATGTCTGTATCTCGAAAACGGTTGAATTTATCGATTTGTAACAAGTATACCTTTTTTATTTACAATTGAATATTGTTCAATATTTTCTAGTTAAAAAATTCAAAATTGTAAAATACAAAAAGTTAGACATATTTTTACATTGATAGGGCAGTATAACTAGCGCTCCATAGACGTGACCCCAACACTGTTGGCATATTCGTATTTGCCACTTCAAAAAACGTAAATCTACAAATTTTCAAAACAATCAGTTCATACGTAGGTACTTAAAATATAACAAAAAATCAAAAATATTTTTTCAATTTTAACACCCTGTAGAACGAAAAGGAGCAACAATTGATTAAGGTATGTTTGGCTCAATCGCTATATTTTGACGTTAACAATATGCCTTTAAGCTCTGTACCATTATTAATGACTCACCCTGTATAGTTTTCTGTTTATTACAATCGCCTACTTAAAGCATCGAAAGGACGATAATTAATTACTCATAATAGGTAAAATTAATTTATTACGTAAATTATTATTTGCATGTGTACCATTTTTCCATTATATGGTTTTTTATGGTTCTCCGGCCGAAATGGGAAAGCAATGACCAGTTAATTTTCGACACAGCCGGAAATAGTATAGAGTAAACAAACTGTGGCTGATTGTGAGATCAATGTTTCCATGACGACGGTGATACATCTCTATATGAAAACTCAAGTACTAATCAGAGACATAGGTCAGTTACCTATTTCTTATAATTTTGTTTTGCACTTTATTGATTCTTTTGCAGAAAATAAATAAATTTACCTAAATGAAATAAAAAAAATAGAAAACACTTATGTATGTATGTCAATTGTCGAAAAAAAGTTAAATAAAAACTTTTTGGTTTTTGAGTTACAGGCCTTCAATGTTGTCAAAAATAGAACTAATTTAATTAATAACTTCATAACCATTTTGCCGATCGGGTAAAAATTTGGCACATTTATTTGGACTATTATGGCGCATTATTTCTTAAAGCTTTAGTCAAATCGATATACTGAGTGATAAGTTTTCTCCGGTTACCTCTCCCTTTTAGCGGTGAAAACTTTTACAGTGGCCGTATTTTCTTAAAACTAGCAGCAACACTGAAAATGTCGTTTCATTTAAAAAAATATCCCTTGAGAAAATCGCCTACAGAAAGCCATTCTTGAGAAAAATGGCATTATTTGCAGGTCTGTGCGTTTCTGTTTGCGTAACAGTGTCATGGATTTCAAACTTTGAATTCAGTAAGCGATGCAAACAAGATGTCGATTGCTGGGGCTATCAGGTAATGTCATTATTGTCGGGTCTCTTTAGGCTGAAGTTATTAATTAAATTAGTTTTATTTTTGACAACTGCAACAGCAACATTGCAATCTACCTGCTTTAACAAACTGGAATCTAACTACATAGTTGCAAATGTTGCACCAATGTGGTTATGACTTATGAAAAATCATAATAGATTCATTATCAGTTATTTTTCCTATTTTCAAAATTAATATATATTTATTTCGAACACTGTTATAATAGTGATTTGCAAATACCATCCATGTTCTAAACATTTAAAATCATGAACGGCAATAAACCTATAGCTTAGGACTCTACATAACTAATAATACAGCAACAAATATAAAATAGGTACATGACATCATTATGTACGTACGTACCTACTCTGTTTTGACCATATTTATTAATCAATCTACAAGTAAGACAAATGAGAACTTAATTCCCCTCTAGCTAGCTACATAGTTACTACGGGTCAGTGATGAGAAGATAATATAATAGATAAAAGGTTCTTATACTTAATAATCGCGCTTGGTTTCTTTAGAAACATTTTTTTGTTAAATCGAGAAAGAAGTATGCCTATTGCAGTCTTGCTTGAACATAATTCAAATTATAATTTTATCTATCACTTTCCGATGTATTGCTTTAATGGAGAATTGCTTTTAATGGAAATCGGCGTAGAATAATCAGTTTAGTTTGTTTTTGAGCTTGTATTTTAGGTCATAAACATTGACAATTAATAAATTCCTACACGTAAAAAATATTAAACATTACATAGAAAAAATATATTAAATCAATTATTAATTCGTGTTTACTATGTTAATAGTGTTAATACTATAAAATATGGCTTTTATACCTACGTTGTGGCATTTCAATATTTTTTTCGTTAAACCGGAATTACACTTAAAAAAACAGACGGTTAGCTACCGGTAGGTCGTCATGTAACCATCAGATTGTACGTGCAAGAACTTTACGGTTTAGAAAACGGTAATGCCATCATGAACTTTACAAGTTTACGGTATTAGTAAAAGCAATAGCGTTGAGAAAAGTTAATAACCCGATTGTTATTTAATTGGAGCTGATTTATGCTAATAAATCGTTTTAAAACATGCCCCTCGTTCCACATTGTCACAGATCCAACACATGCAAGAAGCCAAGCCAATACATGTAAAAATATAAAAAGCTGCATGTGAAGCAAAGATCAATAAAAAACGGAACTGAGAAATTCTTATCTTCTACAGATAACACTAAGACCGATAAAATTCAAAAACATGATTCATGTCAGGGCAATAATTATCATGTATTTGAGCAAGATAAAAATGTACTTACCAATTTCTTTATACTGTTTCGACGCACTAATATTTCACTACATTTAAATGAGTAATTTCGGGATATATTATCAAGGTGTGACCTAGACGCCCAAATGAAAATTCTAAACGTACGACCCACACGTCAAAAACACGGCAGACATATTCGATTCCGTGAATGAAATGTCAAGAAAAACAAAACAATCGGTAAAACAGGTCCCGCTGGTACAGATGACGCCTGGGCACAACAATCTAATTTAACCGCTAAAATAAACACCGAAAAGGATTTTCAAAAAAATGTCTCAAGAATTTTCTCAAAGGCCTGATTCGGCAGTAGAAAGTTATCATTTAGCTATAAAAAAGTAACGAATTATTTTTATCTTTATTAATATCGAGATAATAAAATCTAGTTTTCAGTTTGGAACTTGTGGAATCACTTTTTAATAGTAGGCATATTAATATTACACAAATACATCAAGAACTACAAAAATGTTGTGAAAAACTAGAAAACATAATTTCTGAAGAAGATACTAGTAGCCCATATTCGGTAAGTTGCAAAAAATATTTGATTGGATAGGTACTCAGTAATATACATATAATAAAACACTATTATTTGCTATAGGTCGATTTATTGTACTTAAAACAGCTTATATTAGAACAAATTAAGATAATGGAAAGAAAATACATTCCACAAATTATTTCTTCTACAAAAGTTTCTAGTAAAATGCAGCACAGTAGAGAAGATAGAACACAAAGTATAATAAATAGCACAATAGAAATCCCTGCAGTAAATAGTTTAAGAGAAATTGCTGGACTTTGGGATGTTAAAAAAGTGCTGAAATCTTTAGTGATTTTACCTAGGAATCAACCACAACTTTTTATTAACCGTAGATCATGTAATAGCGTCTTACTATTTGGTCCTCCAGGCACTGGTAAAACACGTCTAGTGCATGCACTAGCTTCTGAAGCTAATGCTGTCTTGCATTGCATTTCTATTAGCGCTATGTTGTCTCCTCTTGTAGGTCAAACAGAGAAGTATGTTTAGTTTATGTGGAAATGTATTCTTTTCTAAATCTAATTGACTGAATTTTGTTTAAGGAACATGCAAACTGTTTTCGAGTATATCAGGAAAAATGAAAAATTTTCTATATTGTTTATAGATGAAGTAGATGGATTTTGCAGGACAAGGCATGACTCGGAACAAGATCATACCCGCAGGTGATTTTTTAAAATTGAGTTATATGCATTAACTTACAAAACTACATCAAAATCAATTAATAAATGTATCATTTGCAGAATGAAAACTGAGCTAATGTGCCAAATGACCAAAATGGAAGACGTAAAGAATATGTTTTTGATTTGTGCCACAAACTGCCCCTGGGATCTAGACACTGCCTTTCTGCGACGTTTTCATAAACGCATATACATACCTCTCCCAGATATGGTTGAGCGTCGTGAACTTTTTCAGTTGTTCACTAAAGACACACCTCTGGAGGAACATTCAGAGTACTGGGACCTACTTATTCAAAAAACAGAAGGATTTTCTGGATCAGATCTTTTCAATTTAGTTCAGTCTGCACTTAATATTCCCATAATTGAGCTGGAAGATACTAAAATTTGGAAATTTGTTAAAGACGGGTTCTATGAGCCTGTTGTTACTCCTGGTGATTTTAATTCGGAGAATTTAATCTGTGGTGAACTGGACGAGTTGCCACATCGGTCCGTAAGGGCTAGATCACCGCAAATATTGGATCTTTTTAACTCTTTAAATAGCATTACGGCCTCTGTCTCTGATGTGAATTTGAAAAGATATGAAATATTCATCAGTAAATAATAAACATTAGGCATTAACTTACTTTATAAATAGCTTATCTCTGTATGAGATGCAGTAAAATAAATGATTGCTTTATGTTTCTTTAAGTACTTTTTCCGTACACGTTACATAAAAATTATAAAATTTATCGGACTATAAAATTTAGATAAAACAAAATAAACTAGGTAGATCAGGGACAATTTATAAACTTTTTTCATTGCCAGTCTCCAGCTATATAGAAAATTTCACTCCAACGTATGTTAACCAATAAAATGGGAGCATTTTCTAACATTGCCATGACAACCTATGTATCTCTGGAAATTTTCTCCTGCTGGAGAGCTGGGGTGTCGTAGAAGGTATTACAGTGGAAATTTTTTGACACAATAAAAAGAGACAACGGGACTTTATCAAATGATAATGACTGCCAACAATCAACCAGTGCGGTTTATTAAACTTTATTTAATATTAAAAGAGTAAAAACACCTAAACAATACAAAATTATTTATTTCTTAGTAATCATAATTTTTAGCTACTAATTTTAAGAATGCCTTGAATTATTTTTCCACCTCTCCTCTTTTCAATGGCTAATAATCTAGTGGATAAATGGTATTTATTAAATGTCTGTGTTTAAGAAAATATATGTAATATTTAGAAACAATTTTGTTTCTTTTCCACGTAGTAATTTGTATTTTCTGGAATTTTTTATAAGATGTTGCTGAGCGATCGAAAACAAGTCTACCACAATGAGATCTTCCAAGAAAACCATAGTACGGTAGTGCTTTTTAACTTTAACTGTAAGTTGCAAAACAATTAATTCCAGAAAATTTAATTACTTCGAACAACCAACAGCAATATAATGTCCACAGATTTTACCAATGGCTTTTGTTGTCAAAATATGCATGGCTTTCTATGTAAAAACAATAATAGGTAATTATGTTTTGCTTTGCCAGGCGCCAAATGTTACTTTGTTACCGCGAATGTAAAAGAGAGATTAAATATTTTTTACCAACTTAAGTAATTCCAAATCGACCATGCAAAATTGTTGAAACTATACAGGGTTTCTTAAGTAGAGGTCAAAAATCCAGGGGCTTATTCTGCGGCCAAAAATAAAGGTTTTTTGTTTTTTGTTATATAAATGTGTGGTTTTGCGAGCTGTGTCTAGTGTGTGTCAAATTTTTTTTAAAATCTGTTTTTAATTTTCAATTTCTAAACCTCATGAGATAATTTAACTAAATTCGGAGTGCATATTTAGTGTGACAGTAGGGTAAGAAGACAAACATTAATAGCTTTAAAACTTACCAGTGGCGGAGATGTGAGTTTCATCGATCATTATTTGCCAAAAAAATCATAACCCTTAAAAATATATTACAAATAAAATAGATCATATGCGCCATTCTATTGTCTTCACTTTTTATTTCTTTACACTTTTTTGTATTCCAAACCGATTAACAAAAAAATTGATTTATTTGATCAAGTGCATTTAAACACAGTTACTTAAATTACTTAAACATATCTTAGGGAGGTGATGCAAAACAATGATAATAAAAAGGGTGCATCTTATTTAATACGATTGTCAATTGTTTAATACGATATTGTCAAATTAAACTTATGCATATTCAAATACTGAAATGGCCAATACGGTTAACATTTATGGTCTTGCAGATGGAAATAGTACTGAGGCTAGGCAAATTTATATGGAAAGATTTCCAAATTATCCAACTCCAAATCCAAGAATGTTCAAAAATGTTTTTCAACACCTTCCTCAGAGTCAGGCTCATTTCAGAAAGGTCCAATTCCTGGAAGACCTATGAGTGTTAGAAGGACCAAGTTGGAAGAAGATCTATATACTACTATTAGGAAGATCGCTGCAAATCTTAATGTGAATCATAATTTAGTTTGGTCCGTTCTGAAGTATCAACAGTTATACCCGTTTCACATACAAAAGGTTCAAGCCTTACTGCTGCAAGACTATCCTGGTACTGGATTTTGCAAAAAATTTAACAAAATGTTGACTTTGCCGCTGGGATATTGTTTACCGACAAAGCTAATTTTTCGAGATGCTATACTTAATGAACTTTCACAATAAACAAGTTTGGTCTGACGAAAACTCTCATGCCATAATAGAATCTCGATTTCAACATCAGTTTTCTTTGAATACTATTTTATGTAACGTAATGAGTATCGTAAAGATGCATATGATCAAATAAATCAATTTTGTTGTTAATCGATTTGCAATACAAAAAGTGAGGATAATACAATGGCGCATATGATGACCTATTTTATTTGTAACATTATACAGGGTGATATTTGTTTTGGCAAATAACGTTGATGAATTAAAAAAGTGTAATAAAAAACAGAGTGCTCTATTTAAAAAGGAATAACTTTCATAGTTTCTTTTTGGAACAAATATTATCATCCTGTAAACTATGTTCAATTTTTAGTCTCAAACAAACAACTAACTATGTACACTCGACGCAAGATAAAGGTTTCCAACCTAAAAGGCATACTACTTTTAAAGGTGCGAGCCAGTGGTCTATTAATAGGAATTTTGGGAGGCATCAATAATTAGGGGCGTGTCATATTTTTTTTTGTGTAGGCACATGTGTCACGATACATAACAAAAAATTGCAGGCCTGAAGTATATGCATTATAAAAAGAGAAGAGTGCACAGGTTTTGAAATTATTTTGTATTGCCACATTATTTTTCTTGTCCCCGAGAAAATTAATATTTTGAAATAAGAATTTGTGTTATATTCTGTAGAGAGTAGGTAGGTATAGGTCAGGAAAGCAACAAAATAAAAAAATATTGTACTCACAGTTTTATTATAACTTATATAGTTTTGGGCGGAAAGGGAAATATTTAACACAAGACAGAACACGTCCTTATAAATATAAGGACGTGTTCTGGAAGTGAAAATAAGTGAATAAGTTCATGACATTATGGGTCCGGAAATGTTTCCTTTCTGATAGATATCGAAAGAAATTTAAAATCCGGTTTTTTCTAAATATCTCGAAAACGATTTAAGATATTACACTGCCACTATACTATACACCAAAACTCAGTGTAATATCTTAAATCGTTTTCGAAATATTTAGAAAAACAGGATTTTTTTAAATTTACACCTATCAGAAAGGAAGCTTTTCTGGGCCCATAATGTTATGAACTTATTTACTTATTTTGACATCATTTTGTAAACAATGAAAAAACAAAACAGTCCAATAATATGTCCAACCACCATCCGAATCAATAACGGCTTGTAATCTGTTTGGCATAGATGTAACAAGACGTCGTATACAATTCACGTCTATAGCGTTCCAAATATTTTGTATACGTTCCCAGAGCGTATCTCTATTTGGTGGAATATCGTCATACTGTTCATTCAACCGATGCATCACATAAGCTCATAAATGTTTTTTTATCATAAGTAATTTCCATTTTGTTTCATTCCAAAATATTGATTAGAACCCGAGTTATCATGGAAATATTATTTTTGGGGGTAAACATGAGGGTTAGTTTGCATCCGTTTAAATCCGTTTTAGGCTAAAAGAAAAATTATTAGTCCTTATTAATATGTATTTACATTTTTGAGATTAACAATGGATATTGAGCATACAATAATTTAAAAAAAAACACATTTACTGACGCACGCGCATTGACAATAGCGAACGAAATAATCTATCTTTGTCATAAGTATACCAGTTGTCCACAACTTCGGTACCATAAGTGCGACAAAGCGAATGTGATTTTTTATCTTTACCCTGGCAGTGTCGTAGGTGCTAAATAAAATTCAAAATATAAAAAGGTAAATAAATTTGTCTGTCTAAAAAACAAACGTAAAAAAAAATTCGAAGGCAACTTTTCATTATTATAAATAATCAATCGAATAGTATAGAAAAAAAATTGTTTTAGTTTTGTTACATTAAAATTAATGATTAAAAATTTGAAATTGTTATAACTTTCTTATTAAAAATTAAAAATTATATCTATTTCTCTGAAAAGATAAGTTACACTTTTTAGAGTAGATTGAAAAAAAAAACTATAAAATTCATTCATTTTTCTGCTTGATTTTTTTAAATTTCTAAAATCTTCCCTTAACTTCCAGCCTCCCTAACTCTGTTAATTTTAATAGTACAAGAAAAAGTCAAGAGGCCATTTTTATGTAGAATTGTATGTTTTACAACTTTTATAAGAAACTTCAACTGATTTCATTGGGGACACCTATACAATGTTCATTAATGGCGTACAGAAAAAAACCAGAGGCCCATTCTGTGGCTAAAATTAAGTAAATTTTGTTACACACACGTAGGCTCTTAAGGCCGCCGTTTCCCAGCTGCAGGGTTTTCAAAAGTAAAAAAAAAATTTAATCTTTAATTTTCTTAAATCCATTCAATCTAACTATTCGTAAGAAGGTAGTAGACGTTTCGCAAGATTTATTAACTAGGATGATTCGATTTTTCTATTGTAATGTAAATGCAACTCTTTTAATAGAAACANATAGTTACTGTTCATTCAACTGACGTATCACATAAGCTCATAAATGTTTTTTTATAAGAAGTAATTTCCATTTTGTTTCATTCCAAAATATTGATTAGAACCCGAGTTATCACGGAAATATTATTTTTGGGGGTGAACATGAGGGTTAGTTTGCATCCGTTTAAATCCGTTTTAGGCTAAAAGAAAAATTATTAGTCCTTATTAATATGTATTTACCTTTTTGAGATTAACAATGGATATTGAGCATACAATAATTTAAAAAAACACACGTTTACTGACGCACGCGCATTGACAATAGCGAACGAAATAATCTATCTTTGTCATAAGTATACCAGTTGTCCACAACTTCGGTACCATGAGTGCGACAAAGCGAACGTGATTTTTTATCTTTGCCCTGGCAGTGTCGTAGGTGCTAAATAAAATTCAAAATATAAAAAGGTAAATAAATTTGTCTGTCTAAAATACAAACAAAAAAAATTCGAAGGCAACTTTTCATTATTTTAAATAATCAATTGAATAGTATAGAAAAAAAATTGTTTTAGTTTTGTTACATT